GTGAACATTTTATTTCGCGTAAGGGACCGGTCAAATGGCCGCCTAGATCGTGCGATTTAACGCCTTTAGACTATTTTTTGTGTTAAGTCATACAAAATCAAATCAGCAAGAAATCATCCTTAACTTCACACCTCTTCCCATACTTTACTGGATAAGCTTTCAATAAATCTGAATACTACTGTTTCTCTGGCTGTTACATTCGCACGTTGGTTAGCAGTTAATATTGTCATTTTGTAGGAATTCTGGTCCAATTTCAAAAATAAGTTAAGTTTGCGGTCGCCCTCAGCAGGAAGTGTCAAGTACCCCCAGTGTATTTCTGACATGAAATAATGGCTTTTTATATAATTTCGGAAGCTACTTAGCAGTTCTAAAATATCAATGACATATATATATATATATATATATACTTATATATATCTATTGCTCCCACATTATGCAAAAAATTCTTATGTGAACTTCTCTGCCTCGATTTAACTACAATTAGCCAGTAAAAATATGTTAGCACATGTTTAGGTGGTGAAAATTTTTTACACATATACATTTATACAAACATCTACAAATTTTTATTGCAGAGATTTTATCAAAATATCCATATACTCGTGCATAAACATTTATTACATAAACACATACTTGTTGTCATGTGTACATGCAACCACCTCCCCGCTGCCTACGCTCGTGCTTACTCTCCATTAAATGGTTTTTGTTACCACACATGTATTTCTTGAGCTATGAATGACTTTCAGCAGCTGCTGTTGCTATTGCTATTTTTGTCACTTGATGTCATAATTGGCAACAATGATTATGGTTATGGTGATGAGTGAAGCAACAATGTGGAAAAATTGCTTAAGCAGAAAAGTTGTGACAATTTTGTTGTTTTATCGTTAGTAGTTAGCTATTAATTTGTGTTGAGGGAGCGCAACTTTTGTATTTAAGTATCCAAAATTATGCTGATATGCAGTCATGAAAATTATTTAAAAATCTTTAAACTAAATTTAAGAATATATATCTTATATATATCTTATACACTTAAGAGTCTCCTCTGTTTAATATGCAAATGTTATTAACAAAACTGTTGAACCATTTCTAAAAACTCAATCAACTAAAAAGGGGTCATGACACAGCAACAAAATTTGTCAGCTTTCAGCCTAACTCACACATAAATATGCATACACACATTCATAATTTTTATACTACAAGAGCAAGCGTTTAAATCTTTGAAGTATCTAAATAACGGCAGGGTTAGTGGTATTTGTGAGTCATTTGAAGTCACTTAAAAAGCATCAAAACTGACACATTTTTCACAAAAACCCAAAAGTGTTGAAGTGTAACCGCAAAAACCTTGCTGCTGACATGCAGAACAAAGTCGTGAGTATGTAAATGTGTTTGAATATTGCTTTCTTTCAACAAAGTTGGTTCATTTTAAATGTTGCATTCAACACAAACTCTTCTGCTACACTACAGCAGAGAGTTTCAGTCTACTGAGTTGAGAGCTATAGACACGACATAAAAATTTTCTAAAAATTTGCAAACTCATAAACTGATGAATAAAAGTTGCAGACCAAAATAAATGGAATTCACCAAAAAATATATACGTATATAAACTAAAGACCCGCATGTGTCATCAGAAACGTAGTATGTGAAGGTTTTTGTGTGGAATGTTACTCATACGCCGTGTGGTGTACGATGGGCATGTACAATACATGTAACATATATATGTGTATGAGTTGACTAAAATCTCATAGATTCCTTAGCTGGAAAATATTTCTAAGTACAGTTTTCGTATAAATACACTTATACGTATTTCTACAGCCTACATACATACGTAAGGAGATATACATGTCTTCTTCTATACTAAAAGCGCTCGCTTGGCTCTCCTAATATTTGCACCATTAATCTACATACAAATTTTAGTCACAATTTATTCATATATAAATATGAGTTTATTTACACATAATTTTACAATATGAAGACAAATGTTGCCAGCTTCGGTGTGGTTGAGAATCGGATGTATGCAAAAAAAAACTTTTCTATTTTAATTTATATTTTTTACTACTTTTTAGTCCTGAGATTGTAGTTGTTATAAAAACCAATATAAATTTGTTCATTGTAAAATTTAAAAATATAAATATGAGGTATTTTTCTTAATCTCGGTGCTCTTAAGTGAAAACTTTGTCGCTCATTAAATAATCTAAAATCAAATTGTTTCTATGGTTCTTGGAAACTTTTTTTCGGATTTACCTGAAATTCGATTCAGAGGTATATTTTTGTGAAAAAATCACCTTTATAGTTATTTTTATTTGAATTTTTTTTACGAGATCCAATGCTGACAAGGACTTACATGAAGCTTTGATAAAAATTTTTATATATGAACCATTCTTTATACCTAATCCGAATCCGAGGGTTATCCGTTGTAGAGTAGATGATCAGAACGAGGTGGCGGGTTTCTTCCTTACAAGTGTTTGTGAAATGGTTAGATGATTATTGCAAACCGTATGGTGGCACCATACACACCATTTTTACTGAATACACACAAAATAGTCATAAGCGTAGAATACTTCAATTCTGTTAAATAAATTAAATATTTCTGAAAATGTGTTAATGAAGGCACCTATATAACAGTTTCAGGTATTCACTCAGGAAAAGTGAATGAAAATGTGCGCATGAACGTCAATGAAATCGCGCAATATTAGCCTGAGAAATATATAAGCAACAACGAAACGTTCTGGTAAATCTTTAATAACCCAAACATAAACAATACCCAATCTACCAAGTACAACCCTGACTGACTTTTTCACGTCATATAGAGAAAATGCGACATTATGCTGCACAGCATGAATATGTTGAATGTTTCTTCCAACAAATGCTGTTGGTTAATATGACTAGTTCTTTGTCGTTTCACATGGCTGGCGACAATTAGTATCGATATCTAATATGAACTTGCATCTCATACCAGAAATATTAAATGAAGCGCTCCAAGTCATTGAGAACAAAATGATTGCAAATATTCCATTCTGTTACTGCCACAAAATGTCAAAATAATTAATCATTTCGAAAATCACTTAAATTGCTGCAGTAGATTTTAAACAAACACGGCATCTCATTAACCCATGAACATCAGCGTACAAGAACAATGCTGGCCTGAAATACTCAACGTTGTTTCGACTTTCTCAAGGCCTAAAATCAAAAATTATCTATCGGTCGTTGTATTTTGACGCCACTTACTGGAAATGGGGAGCGGTAAAATGTTCTTTGAATAGACTTCAATATAGATTACATTACGATATAATTATAGTAGTTTATAGACATCAAAGGATAAGTTGATTCTCGGAGTATTTCAAAACATCCAAATACTTTATAGAGATTATGCGAGGCAGAGTGAGTGATCTATCCTCGTTGCAAACAACTAAGATGTCTACGATCCCAACCATCCTATTCAGTCTAACATTGAAAGCGAGTCTTTCTCATATAACCCAATATACATCCATGAATAAGTATATAAGGCCGGAAAAGCAAAATGTTAAAAAAAGGTATTATGTAGGGCCTATAAATTACAATCCATATATTTATCGGAGTTAATTTTCAAAAATTCTTCACTTTAGCACTTGTAATTTGTTTCATTTCTCATTGACAGCAACATACTTAATGAAATCATATCTAAGTGATCATTCGGAAGTTGTATGTCTAGGTATATCGAACCATTTACACGTAACTAACGGTTCCACAATGATCTCTTCTTTGGCATCTGTTGTTTGTTTTATATGTTAACGACCTTCAGAGGGTATTAAAATACTGTGACATTCATTTGTATGCAATTTATGTTCAATTATATGTCAGTAGCCTTCTAGACTCCGTCAATGATTGCATTAATGACCTAAATACCGATTTAGATCACATTAGCAAGTAGCCCCACGATAATGGCTCACTTCGCATTGCATTGTCCCTTATAAAAACGCCTTTCAAACTTGTACGCTACAAAGAAGTGAAACTGATTAACTCTGTTATTAAATTTGTAGATACCGCCATAAATCGAGGAACAATATTCTATGGAACTTTGGATTGGAATAACCATATTTATAGTGCAATAGGTAAGGTTTATTTCATGCTTCGTGCTCTATGGGCGACTCAGCATTTCACACCATTAAAAATTCAATTTCTATTAGCAAAAACTTTCTGGTTACCGACCTTACTGCAAGGTGGCGAACTGTTTGCTAGCTGTGGCAGTCTGTGTTGTAGTAAAGTCAATGTAAATCGTCGTGAGCACATAAGTGCTTTTGGATTAAAAATATTTTCTAAGTTTACTGAAATTTAAGTGCCTAATGCTGCTTCACAAAGGTATCTTTTAGAACGAGTTCAATTCACTAGATCTACCTGATCAATCAACTTACTTAGCACGAAATACAGTTGCCTGGTATTTGAGTATCAGTTATTTAACGCTCTGCCTCAGAGTATCAAACACATTCGAACCACGTTGCGCTTTAGAAACGAACTCTTACATCACTTTGCATAATCCATTAATTGCTAATTTGAATGCTTAAATATTGAAAATACTACTTTTCTTGAACCAAATCCCTAACCTTTAACGTAATTAACTTGTTTAGAGAGAAAAGGATAGCTTTATTTATTACTACCGGTGTATATAAAATGCCATCACGTTGAAAAAAATATCGACTTCAGTGATAAACCCATTCAGATGTGTCGTGGCATGTTCGCCGCCCTAATTATAGATGCTTAAAAAATTACCGCAAAAAATTACATATCATTTATTTGCCATAAGCAAGTATTATGATTAACAGGGAATGCATTATGAGTACTTAAAAAATAAAAGAATAATTTTAGTGCGAGTTTTGAGGGTATTTTTATATATACATACATACATATTTTGTTACGTGCTATCTCTTAACTCTGGTTGAGCTGAAGTAATTATGATACAACTATTAAGCAGAATTTCTATTAAAATTACTAAAACGTAAAAAATATTTTTTTTTTATATATTTTTTCAGTACGATGACACATTCGCTTATGACACTGGACATATCTGGCAATAAAATGCAACACATACCGCTAGAGGCATTACAAAAATTGCACTCCCTAACACGGTTGGTGGCGCAGAGGTGAGTTGCAACCAAATTAACTTTTCCACCTAAAGAGATTTGTATACTAAAAAAAAAATTATGTAATTAATTTTAAAAATTATAAAAAATAACCAAAAAATATTCGAAATTCTTGAAAATCGAGTTACATCATTTTTTTTACTCCTTCAATATAATTAACCCTAGACAATTTCATTGAAATACTTAATTTAAAAAAGTACTAGAAGTCCCAGCAAAACGCTCTTTGGATTTCTGTACTTGAAAAAGTCAGAGGTTAGCCGCGTTCTTACTCATCGAAGTCTTCCATAAAAAAGTTATTATGAATGCTGTGATCAGTGTTGCACCCTTTCCTGCTAGCGCCTCGGCCACGTAAACGCCGGGTATGTCACTATATCTGGGATCTCGAATTTTTCATATACAATCAAGCTTTTGTTTTAGATTTTCCTACATCTTCTTGCCACCTTTGAATTTTTGTGATTACAATGAATAGATTTAATGGCAGGTTGCCTATCAAGATATATTGTGACAGTCATAGATATTGTATTCTAGTTGAGTTACCATGAAATGGGTTTACTCTTGCTGTTAATTTGGTTTGAAAGACACTACAGTATTCAGGAAGTCTGTTTTTTATGCCAACTGTAAATAATTCTGAATGAACCCGGCAGTCCACTCTGCCACCCAGTTTTGAACGCTCATTGAAGACGGATACGGATCTATAACTCCGATTAGTAACGTTTTCCCATTCATTTCTTTCTGGAATTTTGTGTTCAGGAGTTGAAATCAAAACAGAAAATAGAAGACATATTGTCCACCTTTTCAGAAAATGGTATAGAATTAAGAATTCGGTTGGGTTTTGTATGGTTTCCCTAATGGTCTGTCGGAGGAAAATTGCTAAGCGACTCACAAGGGTTTTCGTTTGATGAATTACTTGCATTCGTATAATTAAAATAAGACATCATCAAATAAAAAGTATTGCTTCAGCATTTTTACTTTCAAGTGGTCGATTAAGAGCCGTAGTTGGCACTTCCCGTATACTTCAGTTACTTTTTGTTCCTACCGTTAAAGTTCACGGATCCCAAAACTTCTTCGAATCACTTTCTTCTTGGGGAGGGATGGCTCATTGTCATGACGCAAATCTTCTTTCTTGCTGTTTTCCAACAAATCTCTCAGAGCTTTTGGCAAGCATTCATCGGTTTACTATTTTGTAGTTACTATTTGACCCTTTTTCAGTGGAAGAGCAATTATGAACTTAGATAGGGCAAAGGAAACTGACATCACTACTTTTGCTACTAATTTTTTTGCTTAGATTTTACGGGTGGATTTGCTCATGTTGGGGTCCAGACCACGGACTGCTGTTTGGTTTCTGGATCGTACGTCTAGAACCAAGACTCGTCACCAGTAACAACTAAAGTTGCTAGACTGACACTTTTCGAATTTTGTTTAGGAAAAATTTTGCACTTCAACCTCTTTTTGAGTCTCATTTTGGGCCTCATTAAAAATTTGTGGTACCCATCGGGCAGACTTTTTCGTGTATCCAAGATGATAACTTAACATTCGCGATACATCTATGGTATTCAAAACTAATTTTGAAATCTTTGGAACCACTTAGAAATAGTCTCTAAAGACGGTGCAATCGTTCCATATACAATTTGGCGTTCACTGAACATTTGTATTGGATGAAAATTTCGCCGAAACACGAAGAGAATCACATGGTGAATTTCTGTTTGCGTAGGTGGTGGCATTCCATCTGGCCTATGCTCACCTATCTTGGGTTTTCTTGTTTCCATTTTAGCAGATCGTTCTAAAATTTGAACGATATGTTATTGTAAAGGATTTGGTGTTTTTAAATTTAACAAATATAAATTGAAAATCATCAATTGACCGAACCTTCATTAATTTCCTCGTATTTATTTACGAAAAATTGTCCTCAAAATTACCACCCACATAAAATAAGATTCTGTACGGTACAGCCACGGTTGCAAAAAAGTCACAACGTTGCAGGTTGCGATGGGTCTGGTTCTACTGAAAATTTCGATCTGATCATGTAGTAAATTCGTTTGTTGGTTATTAATAGATTTTCATATTTATATAAAACCTATTGCGAATCACAAGAAAATTTAATGGTACTGACCCCTTAGGGCAGGAGCCCATTGCTGCCCGACATATGTCATTTTATAAATTCTGAGACTCGTTAAGTTTTGTATTAAACATTCTCATACACAAGAAAACATCATCATCTTCGCACGACTTCATCTTATAAAAGAAGCGTGATTTAAAAGGAAAATTATCTATAAAGATATTAGCGACAGTGGATTTAAATAAAATTAGTGGTGTAACCAGTTACCACATATTTGATATATTTTATATATAGTCCTCTGAAAAACTTGAGTTTAAGAGCTAAAATTTCATTAATATTTTTGCAATTAATTTGCTTAATTTTTTTTAGCTTCCCTATATTTCCAAGCACTTAACTTCAAATTAGCATTATTTATCTATATTATTAACCTTACTGATCTCCTGTTTTTTTTAATTCCGACGACTAAAAATTAGAAATCACATAACAACGCTCGAAGGGAACTGGGAGGCACTTTTCGATACGTTGCGCTCACTACACCTCTCTGGCAATGATATTACCGAAGTGTCGCCCTTCGGCTTGCACGAAAACGGCAATGCGCTGAACGGCGGCGGCAGTAGTAGTCATCCCTCCAGTTTGGCGGCCATCACGCGTCACGATGAACTAGCGGCGACAAAGAGTGCGCACAGCAATGCGCGTAAAATGCTAAATGAAGTGAGCGGTACGACGGGACACACAACCGGCACGAGTAATCACATAATGCCAAGTAAACCATTTAGTCGCTTACAAAAGTTACTCTGGCTGGATATATCGAACAATCGCATTTATCACATAGCGCCAAACTTTCTACCACGTTCGCTAGTAACCATCGATCTATCAAGTAATCTGCTCAGCGTATTTCCACAACAACTCTTCGAGCATCTGCATGGCTTGCGTATAGTCTCGCTACGTGACAATCTTTTGCGTAGCGTACAAACGAAAGAGCTGCGTCTTGTGCGCATGCGCTTGGAGAAGCTTGATATGGGCATGAATTTGGTGGAGACGTTGGAATCAGATTGGTTTCAGAATAACTACTCCGATGTGCATGTGCGAGCGCTGAATTTGGAGAAGAACTTTATAAGCCAACTGCCGCCGGCGGTGTTCAAGGGCACAGGCATTGTGCATTTGGTGTTGGCGTTCAACGCGATCGAACGCATACATGTGAATGCTTTTGAGGGCATCACCGAGACGTTGGAGTATTTGGATTTGGAACGTAATGAGCTGAATGCGGTGCCTGGTGCCATTAGCACATTGCATAAATTGAAATATTTATATCTCGCTTCAAATAATATCTGTCTGCTGACAAACCTGCCGGAGAATACGGAAAACCTACGTGTGCTCAGTTTGAGTGGCAATAACTTCACAATGATACCTGTGCTGGCGCTACGTAACTACACACAGCTATCCTACCTCAATATGGGTTACAATCTTATCTCGGATATACCAGAGGGAATTTTCGCGGTGGACAATTGGGGCGCCAATCTACAGACGATACTTTTGCGGAACAATAAGATAACGCACCTACATTTGGGCTCATTTTACGGATTGGAGCAGATTCAGGAGATCAGTTTGAGTTTCAACGATATCAACATACACCACCCTATGGTGTTTGAGAACGTTTCGCGTACACTGAAGATACTGGAACTCTCCTTTGCGGTCTTTCCTGCGCGTAGTTTAGAGTCTGTCGATCCATTAGACGCGCTGCTGCCGCTTTCACAACTCATGTGGCTGGGTTTGGACAATAACAATTTGAAGACGCTTTCCAACGAGTCTTTTGCGTATATGCGCGAGCTAAGTTATATCAATTTGGCTTTCAATCAACTCAAACAACTGCCGCGTGGTATTTTTCTGCCCGACGTACATAGCCATTTGGTAGAGATTGATTTATCGTACAATGCCTTGGAAGTCATTGCACGCAACACCTTTTACAGTTTGGGAGATTTGCAAACACTAAACTTGCAATCAAATAAGCTTCAATTGTTGGAGAAGCACGCATTCCATAATCTCGAGTTTCTGCGCTATATCGATTTGTCTTACAATCAGCTGGCCAATATTTCGCACGGTGCCTTCACTGTGCTGCCTAATCTCGCCGCCTTGGATTTGATGTTTAATAACTTAGGCATGCTCTCGTTAAAAATGTTTCACTTCGTCTCGAACACGAGCACGCCACTACGTCTCAATGTCACCTACAATGCGATTGGACACTTCGAGGATGAGCTCAGCTCTTACATGTATATCTACAATCTGGACATTAGCCACAATATAATCAGCAAGCCTGAGAGCTTTGCGAATCTGGCCAACACTTTACGGTTCCTCAATCTCGCGCACAACCATGTCGGCGCGTTAGCGAATCATGCATTCGGCGATCTAGAGTTTCTCGAAATACTGAATCTCGCTTACAATAACATCACTTCGCTGCGTCGACGCAGTTTTCAAGGTCTGAATAGCTTGCAAGAGCTAGACCTGAGCTATAATGGTCTAGAACAGTTGCAGGTGGAGCAATTTTCAAATCTACGCAAACTGCGAATACTACGCGTACGTGGCAATCGTCTACGCGCGCTGCCACGCGAAGTCTTTGCAAATACGCGTCTAGAGTATTTGGATATCTCAGAGAATCAATTGTCTGTGTGGCCTGTGCCTGCCTTCTCTGATGTCGGTTTTACACTTCGTAGCATACAAATGGCGCAGAATGCATTAGAATATCTAGACTCCAGTATGTTTGTGAATTCACAATTTCTCTACGACATCAACCTGGCTTGCAATCGCATAACTGTGCTGCCAGATAATACTTTTACGTTCCTCAACAATCTAACCAATCTGGAACTCTCACAAAACCCACTTGTAACCACGAATCTTAAAGAGGTGTTTTTACACACGCCACGCTTGCGGCGCTTGAAAATACGACGCATGGGTCTTTACGTCCTACCACAATTGAGTCTACCCTATCTCTCACATCTCGATGTGAGCGGCAACTACCTGCAGGAGCTTTCCTCCCTGCACGAGATGCGTCAGTTGCGTTACGTGAATGTGTCACACAATAAAATCGTTAACGCCAGCAGCGTTGCCGAGCATCTACCTAACTCGGTGCGTGTGCTCGATCTGGCACATAACCCATTGCGACGCATCACCGCACATGACCTCGCTGCGCTGCGCCATCTCACCGATCTCAATTTACTCGACGTGAAAGTGACCAATCCATCGGTGTTTAGCAAACTGCGTTCCCTACGCAAACTACATCTAACCTCGCATCAGAATTTGGGCGAGCTTGTAGCGCGCATACCAGGCTTGCAGGAATTGCGAGTACACTGTGTAGAGACGAATATTGGCTCGCATCTACTCGCCAAGCTGGTGAACAATACAAAATTACAATTACTCGAACTGTACGGCGGCAACGTACAGACGATAGCACCGGATGCGCTGTCGGGTTTAGCACGTAATCAACATTTGCTGGTGAAAATCTCACATACTAAAATTTCCGACTTGCCGCCGGGCATTTTTTACACACTACGCGCTGTGCCCCAGTTGGCCATAGATATTTCCAATAACAAAATCAATGCGCTTGCGGCGGACAGCTTCTATCCGAACAAGACCTACTGGGACACGGTTGGCACACGCAGCATCATTGGCGGCCTGGATACATCGCACAATCCGCTGGAGTGTGAGTGTGGGCTTGTTTGGTTCGGACATTGGCTGAGACGTTGGCTGCGCGAGTCGGCGCAAATTAAAGTGATACAAAAGGATGAGATGAAGCGTATGGTGCAGGTGAGCATATAGAGGTTTTTTTATTAGTTTTCAAGTTTTGTCAAATTTTTATGCTTCAATTTATGTACTTACCAAATATTTTATTGCGGTTATCTAATTTAAAAAAAAAAAATATTTTTTGCTTTACGTTGCCATGCACGAAGTTACCGTTACCCGCACAAGTTATGCGCGTAAGCTGTTTTCTTTTCATTTTTCTTACTTTTACGTGTACTCTCTACTTCACAAAATTACTCACCAGCGAAAAATGATTTCCTTTTTTGTTCCTCCATGCAGCGTGCACGCGCCAATACGTGTCACGATCCAACTACGGGTCGTCAACTGCCGATACTGGAGATCTTTCCCGAGGATCTGTTATGCCAAGCGAGTGCGCTCAGCAGTTCAAGTGAACGTCTCTTTCTACTCTCTTTCGCTGCGATTGTGCTGCCGCTCTTTACAATGTCACTTTGATAATTGGACGCGTAGAGTTGTAGGAGCGCGGCGTGGTGAGCGCGGTGAGTGTAAAATACTGTAAGCAACGCACTGCTCGGCAGTGGTTTTTAACTATAAGAGTTGTCACGAGAAACTGATAAATACTAGTAACTGGAATGGTTCTTGCTTTAACTGTTGAATGAAAATAAGTTTGAAGAATAACTAATATTGTTGGATATATAAGGTATGTAAAATATTGTACATTTACTGAAAATATAAAGTGTTAAACATATTGTATTTAAGTATATTACTCTTAGTACTAACATAAGACAGCATTAAATAGGTTAAAGTAAATTTTAAGCAGTGATCTCATCACAATTTGTTTTTATATCAGTTGAGAGACATGACTAGGATGTACTCATTTCAAAGGCAGGAGTGAATGGAAATGAATGAAAAACAATATAACTGCACAGCAGTTGGTAACTGTAATTCCTGTTAATTCCTAAATATAGTAACTTTTAACTTAAAACTAAATAGTTTAGTAAAAATATATGTATAAACATACTTATGAGTAATAAAAAAATGTGGAAAAAATTTACTTATAAATACATGAATAAATACAGAATTTTATTAACAAGTTGTGCAATATACTGTAGATGAAGATTGATGAAAAGTTTAAAGGTAGAGAATAATAATTTTGGCAATAAAATATGTTTCAATAAAAAGAGAAGTCAAGTCAAAAATATAAAAAAGTTTAATATAGCAAAATACACATTTAAAGAGAGTGGAATTCATTAGTAGTTGGCAATTCACACTTCTGCGCTAGCCGCAACACGTATTCTCTCATACTTTGGTCTCCGAATTATTTAATGATTAAGGCAATTTTTTGACATGAAATCTTAGTTATTTTTTATGATGATTAGAAGTTACCGGTGAATTTCATAAGAATAATTCGTGCTTCAATGCACCCTCTGTGCTATCACTAACACACCATAATTTTTGGAGCTGTAATTTAATGTTATTTATATTAAAACTACAAAGTGTTGAAACCTTCTTTAGTTTACTTTAGGCCAACGACTAATATTCGGGCCACCCTAGTGATGGGTTCTTCCAACCGTCCGTTAAAACTTATGATAAAATTTTCGCGTCAAACGAAAAAAAATGGTAAAACGGTGTGGCGGTGTGAACGGTTTTAATTATTTTTTGTCAAAACATTCGTTTTTTCACCAGCTGGGAATAAGAATCGCTTTCGGTCATAGATATATTTCCTATGTTATATATTAAATAATAAAGTTTCACAAACTTTTTCATTTAACACAAACACTTCTTTACTTTATTTGATTTGGATATTTGTTTACACCTTTTCTTATTTTCTCCCTATTTCACATTCAAAATTATTCGTCGGATAACGTCCTATTTAGAGCAACACATCCTTGAGCGTTGTGCAAGTAGTTTTAATTTCAAAAAATTTAAAGGAAACTAGTAATATTAGCTGTAACGAGGAAACTATTTCATGACTTTAAGAGATAAAACAAAGATGTGGGCTTAGAAGAAAATTTGGTCTTCTAACATGTGACTCTTGAGAGACATTTGGCGCTCTAATAGTATTCACTAACTTCTCCCAGATGCACCATTTACTGGAATGTTCTTGAAATTTTGTATTTTTTATTGAATAAACACATAATGGTCTTCGGCAATACTTTCACGCTGATGGTTAGCCCTTACGACTTCTGAAACCGATCCCTGCTCTTCAAATTTCTTAAAAACTTTTAAAAATTCCCTGAGTACTTTGGAGGATTATGCTTACGAATAACGACTTTTGTAGTAGGTTTAAACAACTTTAATGCGTTGTGTGGTTGTTAAGCGATAAGTTTTCATTAGTTTCATTTTATATTTCGTTAGTAGTTTTATTAAGCAGAAATCATAAAACAGCCCTGAACTTTTGAAACCACCAAATGATTTGGATTAAATAACTGGCAGCGTCAATCATGAATAAGACTTTTTTATGGACATAAATATTATGCCACCTTCTATTTAACTCTAAGGCTTAACTACTCACACACATTTCTGCTTTACTTAAAGGGTTAAATTGGTCTTGAAACTTCAAATACATTTTTTTGATGATTTTTTGTAAAAAGTATTAGGTGTATGCATTAATTCGTGTGGTTTTCTAAGAGAGGCTCTACTAGTATTATTTCGCGTCGTGTTCATTTCAAAGGTACTGCCATTTCGCGTCGTTTTCAGTAGATGTTATTTCAATTTATTTCATTCATTTGAAAATGTCGAAATTTGTACCAGATAAAGTTTTATTACTTTAACATGAAGAAAAGTGCTACCGAAAGCCATCGTATTTTACCGGACTTTTATGGTGACCATGCTTTAGTCGAACGAACGGGCCGGAAGCGGTTTGCATGGTTTAAAAGTGGAAATTTCGACTTAGACGACAGACTGCCAAAAAAAATTTAAAAACGAAGAATGGGAGTCATTGCTCGACGCAAATGCATGCCAGACGCAAGAAGAACTTGAAAAAGTATTAGGAGTTGTTCAAGCAACCGTTTCCAGACGATTAAAATAATTTTCTCACAATAAAGTCTTAGTTTTCGAAATAAAAGAACCTCACGAGCTAATATTATAAAGTGTCAGCAATATTTTACCCAAGTTTCAAGTCGATCGAGGCGCAACTGTAGAAATTAGAAAGTTTTATAACCCGTCGTCTTTGTCACGGCTTGACCGATGGCGAAACTTTAAAGGCATTTTTCTTAAAACCACTTTATCGAAAGCGGTAGTAAAAATTTCTCAAAGACTATTGAAGCGATCGAGTTGAAGTTTTCCACACTTCTTTTAAGCATGTTTTTGTTGTCCCTGAACGAAAAATTTATTTCATTTTTGATCTCAACTCATCCTACATGCAAAAAAATGACGTTTTTGGTAAAAAGCGCGGCAAAAAATTCAATTTTTAATGTTTTTAATTTTTTTCGTTCAAAGACAAGGAAAATTCACATACTTTAGGGTTTTTGATTGCGGATAAAAATTGAAAAAGTTATCATGACTGTCGCGAAAACACTTTCTTGTCGACGGTCTACTTTACGGCACTGCCAACGCCTTAACTTATACTATTTTTTATTCAAGTTGCCATCAAATGACCTTCATATTGTAATTTCATATGTAAATGAAATAAATGGTATACTTTATGTAGAATCTTTTAAAAAAATGGAGAAAATAAGTTTATTTTGGCCTTCAAGACCTATGTAACCCCTTAACTGCGCATAGTTAACGAAGAGAAAGCTAATTCCGCTTTAAAGTTTGGAAAACTCCATCTGAGATAATTGATGTAAAAATTGCCGACTATATTTGCAGTAATTCAGTTATAATTCTGTCAGAAATACATCAGCAAGTAAAGTAGTCACACTGTTTATATTTTCAATTAATATATTTATTTACATCATAACTTCTACAGTGGAGATCTGGAAGGGACAGATAGTAAGTACAACTTAACTTATTCACGAATTGGTCGACTATTAGCAGAATTTGAAGGGAGAGCAAATGTGCCATTTCATGGTCTTAAGTCAGGTAAAACAAACCATTGTAAACTGGCATAAGTTTATAGCACGCAATATGGATTTGTACGTTTATTTTAAATTGTCTGAAAAAAATATTTTGAATGCATTAATACGACGACCTATAAGAAATAAATAAAAAAATTCATAGATAATTGACTCATTTTAATAGTGATAAGGACACACTACATATGATGAAAATCTGAGTAAGAGTCATACGGAAGCATTGTATTGAACGACAAGAAACTTTTAACTCTAAAAAATATTTTTGATATTTTTTATTTTCCCCAATTAAAAATATAGATATAAATGTACTGAGTTTACAATAATTTTTTTTGGGATATAATTTATTCTTTTTAAATTAAATAGACAATGATTAAATTCGAGTTTTCCTACTCTTTATATAAAGAAACACAGAAAATTCCAATTTTATTTAATTTATGCTTCGACAAAACATTTTCGGGCATTGCTTTTTTGAAAATTATCTAGTTGAGTCTAATTGGGGATGACGCGTTCCAGCATTTCGACTGGTAACTGGCAATGATACGCGAGTTGTTTTACTTCACAGCCTGAATCGAAGAGGGCTTCTCCGCATAGACTTTAGACTTTACATATCCCCCCAGGAAAGAGTCTAACGGTGTGATATCACACAAGCTTGGTATCCAATCGACCGGCCAAAAACGTGAAATCAACTGCTCACCGAAATGTTATTTCAATAAATCCATTGATTGATGCGATGCGTGGGAAGTGGAGCCGTCTTGTTAAAAATCAGTTGTTACCCGGATCACAAGCTGCAATTCCAAGCATCAAATAGTCGGTTACAACAGCATGATAATGGTCGACATTGACAGTTATTTTCTCACCGGCTTTATTTTTGTAAAAAAAAAAAAATGGGACGATGATTCCGCCGCCTCACAAACCACACCAAGCCGTTGCTTTTTCTGGATGATGGGGTAGCTCTTGAATTACTTCAGTCTGCTTTTTCTCCCAAATGCGGCAATCTAAACAAAAGTAACATAACAGTTTGACAAGACCCATACGTGGTCTGTCAAAAGAAGGCCATTGGAAAAATTAACTCTACTTCGATCACCCATTACTACACATAGTTGTGACAGATCACTCAGTGAACTTGCACTAATCATTTCAAGAAACTTTTTTGGAGTTTAGAGAATTGAATGTCATGTCAATGAAGTTAAATATGCATAATTAAACGTAAATATCATATTTATATATATCATATTCAGCGATGAACAATAATTAGAAGGTTTAATTTTGAAATTTTTGGTCTTACGAATGGAAATTTATTTCTATTTTTAGTGACGAAAAAATGAAATATATATTTTAAGAAATTGTAATATTTTATAATTGCAATTTTATTTGTATTGATTTATTTTATTCTTTTTTTGTGCTTATGAGTTTTAAGCGTTCAAGCTGCTTAAAAATTCAAACTAAATGAAAAAATATATAAAACTAGGTAACGCATTAAATGAAATTTTTAAAGCAATTTTTATTTTAAATGAGCACGCCTACTTTAAATGATACATAAAAAATATCTTTTAAATTAAATATAAATTTAGTATCTATAAAAAATTTTAAATGTAAAATGTAAAATGGAAAAGGTCGAAAAATTCATAACTAACAAAAACAAAAAAAAAATAAATAAAAATAATATGGAGCATAAATATGATAAAATATTAAGAACTAAAGCCAAATAAAATTCTGCACAAAAAAAAAAACTATTTAAAAAAAATTAAAATACACCATCCTTCAAACACACGCTCACTGTCATCATAAATAACAAAGGCGTTATTAATTTAAAACGATTTATAAAATAAGCTGTAGTTTAGCGCAATAATGGCAGAGCATTACAATAAAATATTAGCACCAGTGCAAATGAGAGCGATAACATATGTATATAAATAGATAATTATATATAAGCAGAAATATTTAATAAAAACCTTAAAAATCGGTTAAGTTCAAATATCTTG